TCATCTGAGAAAGGAGGTCTGAATGAAAAACAGAAAGATGAAGAATCTGATCCAAATACATCCCTGCAGGAAGAAGTGAAATCGGAAGGTGAAGCTGCAAATTCTGGGAATGATAAACCGGCTGAAGATGGAAGTCTGAAGAGGAAGACAGAAAAAGATGATTCTGAGGAAGCGTCAGGGGAACGGAAAAAGCCACGAGTTGTATTGAGTCATCTTCTAAGTGCTGATGATACGCAAGACGAGGAATGAAGCTTCTAAAGGAGACTAGTATGGTAGAATGACTTTAATCAAGCAGCTAACTGCTATACTGACTCATATCAACATGTAGCTCTTTGTACTATGTTATATAATTTCATCAGTTAATGATTGTTGAAAAGTATATTGGTTTTTTTTCTTTTCTCCCATCTTTCCAATTGAAAAAATTTCCAGTCATTCTCTGTTTTCTTTCACTTTGCTCGCCAGCATGATTGTGTCATGTCTTGAATTGGTTTCACGGTCAGGACAGGGTAAATAGTGTTTACTCAGTCATTCATGCCCCATTGTTGCAAAAGCTCTGTATGTCGAGGTTGCATTTGGCTAACTATTTTTTTCTGGAATGCTCAAGTGATTGGTATTTCCTTTGCTGAACTCAAAAGTTGTAGCTGAGATGGTCGTTCAACATTAAAATAGGAAATTTATTTGGGTGCATTTCATGAGAAACCATGGGATTCTTGATGAAACTGAAGAGTTGGGTGTTGATTTTGACAATTAATATCTTAAATTTTAAGGTACTAGATCAATGGAATTTACATATTATATCCGAAAAGTAATTTCCGTAGAGTTCAAATATATATCCAGCTGTAATATTCATCGCGCAAAAGCGTAGTACGGGGCCAAATATGTACTGTAATAGTCGGCCAGAACAATGAATTTTTGTTTCATCACATAACAAATGCTATAAAATTCAGATGATGCTTAGTATTGAAACCGCAAGATGGTCAAGAGTATTATGTTTCTAAATCCCTGTCATCGTATCAGTCTGAAGTAGAAGATCGGAGATCCTTTGGAATCCATACTGCTACCTTCTCCACTATACATCCCTGAAAACATAACCCAACAGATAATGTAAAAGCCTCAGTGTATGGAACTAGGAGGGCTTGTCATGAAGGTATTACTCAAAAATATGACATCTGCGACTAAATAAAACCAAAATAAATGGGAATGTGAACCAAAAATCTGAAACTGTAACCATATGTCTAAACAAAGAATACAAATAGAAAATAGAGTCAACAGTCCAATTGCGTATCTACGATTTCTGGCGAGATGATGAGCTGAGAGTACCATAATTCATATAAATGTTTTTGCAGTTTATAATTCATATAAGTATTGCATGCAATGCAGTTCCAGTAAAGGTTTTAACTGGCACAGTCGAGATGGTATCAAGGCTGCAGGTTAATTGTCGTATTTCTTACCCAAACTTAGTTGGACATATAGAACATTGTCATACTTCTTATCCAAATTTGGTTGGGGTTATACAAGTAAAGTATTCTGCTTATGAGACGCTATATCTGCTTAATCGCATTTACTAGTACCAGAACAAGAAATTTTCACAAACGAAAGTACAGAAATACTTATTGGCAATGGGTACGTATAACAGTTATACAATAATATAATGAAATCCTAATCTCTGAAGACAATTGGATCCATCAATGTTCCTCCAAAATGGAACAATCATGAGCATCCCAACTCCTTTAGATACAGTAAAAGGACATGTCTCGAAAAAGAAAGTAACCTAGCAAAGTATAATTGTCTTGCGTACCATTGTTCTAGTGATAGCAATTTAATGAAAGCATGGGAATCTGCCAACAAAACATTAATGTCACATGGTTCTACAGGTTTTATTTCTTTGTATTCATCTTACAAATGATTTTGAGATTGTATCCAGGTTATTTATCTCTATTTTAATCATAATACTCTACGACTAATGAACTACCTTCGCTCTTCTTTCTTTCTTTCTTTCTTTTTCTCATTTTCAAATTTAGTGCAGGTTGTAATGAATGTGAACTTATGTATAGCATATGAAATAATGCGAGACAGAGTAACCAGAGTTGCTTAACAACCCAGACCACTGAATAATCCCACCACTAGTAAACGGTATTAAACAGTAAAGCACTCACCTAAAATTTCCGGTGGATATCATATGGCATGAACAATTGATGGCTAATTTGTTGAAATCCCATAGCGGCTCCGAAGAGCATCAATTCCTTTCTCAAAGGACTGTGAAAACTCAGTTATGGATGTTTTGCAAGCTGAAAATATGAATCAGACGTAGAATGAATCAGAAGTAGTTTATAAATTGGTACTCAGAATGAATCAGAAGTAGTTTATAAATTGGTACTCAGAATGAATCAGACGTAATTTATAAATTGTTGAACTAAATTAGATTGTTGCATACTGCTAGTACTTACAAGTCAGTTTAATGATACATAGGAGACAATTTTTTATTTGCCAATCTTTTTCTTGGTTTTTAAAATCTTTTCTCTCTTCTCCACAGTAATACATTATATATGACAATGTGAAACTGAACAGGTCAAAAAGCTATCCGAGCTGACATGGGAATAGAACCGATTTCCACATATGGGACACAATTATCACTTGTCAAAGCATCAATATGGACTCCATATCGAGTGTTTTAACGACAACGTAGCATGGCATGTTAATCAATAAGGATATTGAGTCCAGACTCCAGTATAGCATTAGTACCAAGACATGACCTATACGAAATCTTACACTTTAAGCAGGTCAGATAGATTTAAACTGAAGACATACCACGAGAAGCAGTGGTCTGTGCATCTGCCATGAACTCTGCATATGAAGCCTGAGAAAGAAGCAGTAGGTTGTTACACTCAATGAATTAGCACTAAGGACATAGAATTAGAAGGAAGGATAAGAAACAAAGGATACCATCATTGCTTCCCGACTTTCGGTAATCCTTTGGGTCATCTTCTTGTATTCCTTGTCTGTCTCATCCAGCACTTGCTGACATGCTTGACTTTGAATCTAATAACACAGAAAGCCAAATAAATTGGCGAAAAAATCCCTGCTCTAAATTCTAATGCTCCTCTTCCCTCTACTAGCACTACTACTAAACTCACATCAGACCAAATCTTGAAATTGCATTGAGAATTTCTTGTCATCAACATATGGAATTGATATGAAATTGAGATTAAATCACCCTAAACTTGCCATTATTTAGCGAAAATTCAATTTTCTGTTCTCTTTCTTTCTTATAACCACGTATAATCAGGAATTCACTAGATTACATTGTTCTACCAAACGTTGTAACAGAAATGAGATTTGACTGCTTTCAAATGATTATCAAAGCAAGACTAAATGAACATAAAATTGTTATTATTTGGCGAAAATTCAATTTAAATTCTCTTTCTTAGATATTTTTATCAGTAACCAAACAAACAATAGTTCATCAATCAAGAAACTCAATCATGCAAATAAGTATCAAATCAGTACAACAGGATATCAATTCCAGAGAGAGAGAGACCTTGAACCGCTTGTGGAGGCGAGAATGAGAGGAATCGAAATCCTTGAGGATCTCAGAGTGAGAGCGATCGATGTGAAGCTTGAGATCGCGGAGGCGAGAGGAGGCGAGGTGCTTGAGATCAGGAATCGAAGCCAAACTATTGGTTTGAGGTGATTCCATGAGCGCGGCCACAGAGGCTGAAGGTCCTCCAATGGCTGCTCCGACAGTGACAGTCGTCCTCTTGCGCTTGCTGCTGTTATTGAAAGTCGCCGATTTGGGAGTAGTTTGGTTTTCAGGAGAAGAAGCTACTGGCAACGACGGCAATGGCGTTTCCAGAAACTTCGCAGCTGAAGACCTCCGACTCCGACTTCCACTTCCACCGCCTCTTTTCATTGCTCAGTCTCTCAAGTATCTTCTTCTCCTTCAGTCTTTTTGTGTTTGAAAATTTCTAATTTTCTAGGAGCATAGACTTGGCGCCTTGGCAGGTGGCTATATATGGGCTTTTATTTTGCACATTTTGGGCTTAATGAGAAAAACTTGTACCCGGCTCTCAAGAGATTTTACTAACATTTTCTTTTTTCTTTTTGTCTACGATGATGAGGAGGCTCGTTTGGTGCATAATATTAGATTGGATTGGATACTAAATTTAAAGTATCTTGGTGGAGGCAATGAAGGTAAAGATGAATGATTTTTCCATTTTGAGGGGATTCTGAGGGATTAATTATAAGATGTTCTTATCCTACCATTATGTGGGGATTAGATGCGATAAGTTTTTTTTTATTAGTAATCCATCTTTCATTTCTTCTTCAAACATGCTTAAAGCGGCTTTGGTCTCACTTTTTATATTTACATATTTTGGAGGCCCTGGTTTGACTGTAGGCCTGATAGATGTTTTTATTTTACTAACTAAACTATGATTCTTTTTATGTATTACATTGTTTTTCTGGGGTATTTGTTTTTATTTTACTAACTAAAACTATGATCTTGGTTTCAATCTTTTACCGTGTTACATTGTTCATCGGGAAATATAGGTATGTAGGACCTTTTATTTTGTTGCCTTAGGCCTCAAAAAACTTACAGCCGGCTCTGCTACGTTGGGCACTGTTTTACTTAACAGTTCTTCGTTTTCTGAAACCATGTGTGAAATGTGGATGGTTGCCATAATAAGAAAACGTGCGATGAAACTTTATAGTGTGAATTTTTAAACATCTTAAGGACGTTTCGCTTGAATTCTTATAGCAATTGATAGATATTTGTAAAAGCGGAGCTTCAATTGAGGGATTCCTCAAATAAATTTATATGAGATACCCATGTGGGGCCCATTCACATTGTATTTTTATAATATGAATCAAGTATTCCTTCAACGATCATCCTAGCCAAAAAATCACTTGAATCCAAAATCATTTGATCATTCAATTGATGGTTGTACTTCTAGTGTTTTCTTGAACCACTCGGATCATTGATTGTTGATCACAACTAAATGTCTTAATAGTTTCTGATTTTGCTAATTTTTTGCATAGATTTCGCATGTGTTAATACATGGCGCGATTTTTGTATGAGTCCATTACAACATGCCAATCAGATAGACAACAAATAACAAAGGCATTAGTTAAAATTGCATCAAAATCTAACTGCGTCTTACATTTCAAAATCTCTGTCAATATGTGACATTGCATCAAAATCTACTCAAACCAAATTCACATATCGCAATAGAGAATTAATGGTAAATATTTAATAAAGCATTTCCATCTATCATCGTCTTAAAATATATATATATATATATATATGATAAATAGCTTTCGGTCAATTGCTATGCACTTGAGCAAGAGAAATGCATAGGTTAGAGAGCAACTATTGCAAACTTCTTGATCAGATACACCAACATGAACACGAGCAAAGCGAACCTTACTGCCTTGGGAGATGAAAACAATAGTAGTGAGAGTACATTTGCCTTTCCATGTTTTGAGGACTTACTAATCTATTAGTTAACACTCCCCTGATTAGCACCATGGAGATCTGGGAGGTCAGCGCTGGTCGAAAACTTGATCCACTTCTCTTTCTCCGCATACATAAGACATGGCTGCATCGCAAGGCCGATCATAATGGCTCCGACGCTCACAACCACCACCTTGAGAGTAGAAAAGGCCAAAACTGTACAAATCAGTATGGTTGGAGGAATGCACAAAAGAATGGCTCCAACTGTTCCAACAGGTATCTTGTAAGGCCGAGATGCTGCCGGGTACTTCACTCTTAACCGTATAAATGATAGGAACTCTAGAATCATTCCAAAACAGTACAAGAAGTTTTCTGCAGCTACAATCTCTTGAAAGCTCAGCCAAGATAGAAAAAGGACTCCAGAAGCTGAGAACAAAATGCCAATCACTGGGGTTCCATAGCGAGACCTTTTAGCGAAAAACTCAGGCAGCATGCCTCGTTCTGCCATCCCAAGAAGTTGGAAGGAGTCACTGCTCATTTCAGCCACAAACATCCCCATATTTGACATTGCCGCAGCCCCTTGGATCCACCATCTCAACCAAACTCCCCCAATAATTTTAGCAATATCTGAGAAGTATCCATCAGTCCACAACTCTCGGTTGAGGGGAACAGCCCCAGTACCAGTTAGAAGAGGGAATAAATACCCAACAACAACCAAAATCAAGGCACAAAACAGAGCCTTTGGTAGAGTTTTCTTTGGGTTTTCTACCTCCCCGGCAAGTGTACTTATCGAGTCCCAATAGTTCAGATTCCAAAAGAGAGTGTTCAAATACAAATTCCAGTCCACACTGTGTAGATTTACCACTAACCATCTCGAAGGCTGCAACTTGGGAATTGCCACAAGTCCCATAACCATAAAAGGAGTGAGTGAGAAAACCCCTAAAAGAACAGCAGCCCATCCCACAATGGCTAAACCCCTATAGTTCATGTAAGTGAGCACCGACGTCAAAACCAACACGGCTATGATTCTTGGAAGGCCACCACCTAAAGCCGGGATTGCCGACTTCAAATAGTCCAGAAACAGAACTGGGTACAGAGCATTATCAATAACCCCACTTAGCCATTTCATCCAGCCCTGCTGGAACCCCCAATAGGGACCCAAAGCCGACGAAACCCAAACTACATAACCGCCAGCCTCAGGGAACATGGTACCCATCTCTGCGGTAATTAAGGCCTCAGGAACACTCCAAATGAGTGGAAAGACCAAGAATCCGAGAAGGGCTAGAAGGGGACCAGCAGCCTGGACACTATCCTCAACACCAAATGGTCCCCCAGAAACCTCATAGAAGATGAGGAAGACAAGGGGCAGAAGTGAGACTTTCTTGAAGTTATCTATCCTAGGGGAATCCACTTCACCCACTGAAACATATGCATCACCATTGCCCTCTCCCATTGCAATGGAACCTTGCCTCTTCTCTGTGGTTCTCAGTTTCTGCATTTAGTGCAAGTTTTCAACACAATAATATTAATTTCAGTTTTTTGTTGGCATCAATCTCAAAGCAAACATAAAAATCTCTTACATGTAGAATGAAGGGAAAATCTCTTACATGTAGAATGAAGGGGTTTTCAATTTAAACAAATTGATGAGCAGTATACATTAAACTAATAAATGGGTATTCTCAGTAACAAGGATTCACACATTAATCATTCATGCATATACAGAGAAGAGGAACTTTCAATCAAACACAGTAAACTTCACAAGTAGAGATGAGACTTCAAAAGTGCAAAGAAATTGGATGCTTGAACAAAATACAGGATTTGAGTTATTACAAAAACGACTTAAATAGCTAATGAGAGGGTGAGAAGATTATCTTTGAGTATTTACAAGTTATGGGTAGAGGATGACGAAAACCAAAAGATAAATTAATAAAATAAAATAAAAATAAAACATTGGTGAGACTCGGGAGGGAAATAGAAGATATATTATGGAAAATGGACAAACCAGGAATAGGAAAAGAAGGAAAAAATTCCAGCCGGGTTGCGGTACACAATCTCCGCCATTAAAGAACAAAGAAAGCTCGAACCTTTACACCTCAGCGGCTCAGAGAGAGATGAACGATAAGTCAACCGTGCAGTTGGGCTGCAAAAAAAATTGCAGATAGTAGAATATTTTCTATTTCATTTTTGCTAAGCGAATAGGAATATTTCTATTTCATAGTGCGTGCACCTCAAGTTTTTTTTTTTTTTTTGGGGGGGTCAATCTCACCTCAAGGTTCATTGCACCTCAAGGTTATATAAATAAAAAAAAGCAACATTCAAAAATTCTACCTATGATGGTTGAAAACTTGAACACATGAAGGAAAAGACTATGAATCCAATCAAAACTAGCGTTGAATATTATTACTAAAAGAAAATTGGAGCTTTGCAAAGTTGAAGTGATCTGATAGCTTAACAAATCATTGAAACTCTGACGATGAAGAAGAACTTGCATGTCACGAGGATAACATTGTTTTGTTATTTTCATCCAATCACGTTCCGTCATATGGAAAAATCATCACACGTGATGAAAAATGATTAATTAAAATGATAGCAAAACAGTGTTATTCGCGTAATAGACAAGTTTTTCTGATAACGACAACCCAGGGTTGTTGTGGAACTAATTTGGTAACAATAAAAAAAAATCTATTATTGGAGTTTGAATTTGTTCCGATTAAGAACTGTATCAAGATAAACATCAACCTTTAAAATATAACTAAAAGAAGCTATTGATGTTGTGGGCACTCACAATGGAAGTACCAAAAATTAAAATGGGACTGTTAGAATTGTAACCCACAAAGAAAATTTTAAAGAAATTTATTATGAGAGTGTGAACGGTACGTAGGTGAGATTAGGGTTCATCACTAGGCCAAGATGGGGCAGGTTAGGTTTGCCTGAAATTTTTGGGTTTGGGCCAGGCTCGGGCTAGGTGTCACGGACTTTTTTGAATTTTCAAGCCGGATTGAGGTTTCAAATGTCAATGCATGGGCCCGCCTATTGGGCCAGGCCGAGCCAGGCCTTTTTCGCTTTTTATTTTCTTTTTTGTACTTTTTTGTCCAAGTCTTTTATAATTTTTTATTACAAAGGAATAAGAGCACCACTACCACCAAGGAATTAGAGTACCACCAGCAAGGATGAGGATTTAGACAATTTGAGAAAGTTGCAACTTCAAATTTGAGAAAATAAAATAAGAGTGCTACTATTTCCACCCCCTAGTCTTATTTCCCTACCCACCTTATCTTTCCACCCACCATGTAAATTTTAAAAAACACAATTTTATTTTTACAACCATCGTTATTCCTAAAATATCCTTTAATTATTAATTCAAGTAAAATTCTCCTTACTTTCATTCAAAGCATGCTTCGAACCTTCAACCTTTGTCAATCAAAACGTGTGGGATCCTCTGTAAAGTATTATTAAAAATAAAAAAATAAAGAAAATTGCTCTCAATGTTCATCGTCTCTCCATTGAACAAAAACAATAACTGAGAGAAATGCTAGAATTAGAAAGAAGACGAAGAGCAAACTGAGCAAATGAAACAGAAAGCTTGTGTCCTTGGGTTTAGAAACTGAGGAGAAATCTAATGGAATTGTAGTGGACCCAGTTGGAAATTTTGAAGCTTTATTGGAACTTTGATTTGGATTTGGTTGGGATGAGGGAGAGAAGGGAGGGGTTGGGGTTGACAGGGATGAAGGAGAATAGTGGTTTTATTTATTTATTTATTTATTTTTATTTTTTATCTAAGTCCTTAAAAGTCATTTTACAAATGGATAAATTTGTTTTTAAATTTTGAAGATAAAGGTGGGTGGGAAAATAAGATAGGTGGGTGGAAATAGTAGCACTCTAAAAGAATGAGAGCACCATCACCAGAGGAATGAGGATTTAGACATATTGAGAAAATTGAAGCTTGAAATTTGAAAGAATAAAGCTTGACAAGTTAGAAAATTGAGTGAAGAAGAATAGCATTTAATTGGGTATTATATTTATGGGTGGGCCGTGCCAGGCATAAATGAGCTTAACCAGGCCATGGCTAGACGAGCTCAAACGGGCCTGGCCGTGAGCTGGCCCATGATTTCAAACCCTTGGCCCAAGCCCTATCCAATCTTAAAGAGGGCCAAACTGTGTGGGCCTGAAAAATGGGTTGGGTCGGACTTTGGCCTATTGTTCGTTGGGCTACCCACTTCGGCCCATGAGCCACATGCCGAATGGTGATCCCTAGATGAGATGAGGACCTTTGCTTTGGGATGTAAATACAAAGAAATTGTTTCAATGTTAATTTAGTTCTAGGTAAATAATTTTTTAAGAGAAGTTATAAGTAAAATTAGACAATTTTTTGGCGGGAAAATGAAGTAGTTCTTTTATTTATCATTTTCAAGAATTATTTTTATACAAGCAATATTAAGGAGAAAATAACCTAAGATCTAAGATGCAGGAATAAATACTCTTACCTTTTTCAATAACTTTTAAAAGTCCTAACAAAATAGAAATGAACTAGTACTTGTTTTCTCTTTTCTGGTAGAAACAAATTGATACATTTTCACTAAACAATATTTGAAAGTCAGGTTGGTCCATATTTTTCACAAAAATAGCCACCGTTTTGGGTTTTCTCACAAACATAGCTAACCATTTTAGTGGCTGAATTTCAGGTTTTTGTTAACAAAAAATGAGAATTAACAAAACTAAATAACATTAAAGATGTGTACACGTGTCCAGGTTGTACGTGGAATCCAAACCGTCCACGTCATTAAGCTTTTAAGAAGTCATTAGGGACAAGGAGCTAGTTGTAAAAAAATAATTTACACATTTTCAATTACCTGGGAAATCTAGAATTCTTTATTTTTCAACATATTTAAAGACTTTTAGTTTTTTTTTCTTTCTATTTTATAAATCTCCAAGCATTACTGGAGTAAAACTGCTTGAATTTGGTTGGAGTAGTTAAAAATTGTATCAGTGCTCTTTTGCTTCAGTTTGTTTATTTGTGTTTTGTTCTTGTGGTTTGTTCGTCTCGGTGCTCTTTTGGTTCTGTCCATTGCATGATGAATAAGTCTTGTGCTATGCAAAGGACTATGTTCACATAGAAGACCTTTTTTGACATAACATGAGAGGCGTTGGTGAGCTCTTTCGATGGGTTTTTCTTAGTTTTTGTTTTGTTGGTGGGGTAGATTTGTTTTAGATGTATATGTTCTGTGATTCTGATTTTGTCTGGACTCTTTTGTTAGTATGTTGTATGTGTAGTACTCTTCCCTTGCTCAGGATTTCCTAAGAAAGTTTTAATGAGGGCACTATTAACACGCAGGTTCTTTTGTAATGTTCTTCGAATTTTAATGGATTTGATCTTCTTCTCAAAGAAAAGAAAACCACCTTATCTTGTAACACTAGTCAAGTATGGAGGGAAGCAAGGGTCACTTGGAATTTTTCAACGGGTAGGCTAGCTAAAGTTTTTAGCTTAAACTGTGATGCCGCTTTGTGGGCCTAACAGTAGCGAGTAGGCGTCGGCTCCCATGGTCTGCTCTTAGGTGCTGGTGGAGAGGGAGATCTTTGCGGCTCATATGCCTTGATGATGGAAATCCTTGCCATTAGACAATCCTTCAGTGTGTGTGTCCAAACTCAACTTACTAATCCGATGGTAGAATCCGATGCTCATAGAGGAATCTCAATACTCAACGTACAGATTGCGGCGGATGCTGATCTTGAAGGGATTTTCTTTGACATTCATCAGTTGATGTCTCAACTTACTCGAGTGACCTTCGTGTTTGCACCTCGGCATTGCAATTCGGATGCACATGCTGTAGCTCGTTTCGTTTATAGACGTGGGGTTAATCATGTTCGGGACTATAGTGGGTATTGAATGGCTTTTTAATATTCTTGCAGCATATGTAAACCTTAATATTCGTTTTTAATAACATTTTCCAGCAATTTTGACCCCCAAAAAAGAATTTATCAAATTTTTTTTGTTTGGTTTTTTGTTTTGTTTTTTGTATTTACAGTTTATATATAGTTTTTTTTTTTCTATAAATAAAAGTATGCATTAAATCATATAAAACATGCTAGTTGTAAACACATGAAAAAATAAAATAAAATTATAGTCATATAAACCACGTTAGTTGTAAAGACAAGAAAAAAGAAAAAGAAATTATAGTCATATTATTCACAAAAGGGTGAATTTCATTTGGAAAATTGCTTTTCTTTTTTAAGACAAATTAATAAAAAGATTAAAATTGGAGAGTTAGAGCTACATACTTTATCGCATGTATTGGTGTTGCGACAATATTTGACACTAATTACAAATGCGGAAAACCTCTGACTATGCCTATTGGTGTTGGTAAGGTATGGAATTGTGTATTTATTTTTTTTAGGTTAAAATATTGGGCTATATAGGTTTATTTTTAATTTTTTCCCCAAACCTTCAGAAGGCTACAACCCACTATGTGGTTCCGCCAATGGAGGGACGATTGCAAAGGGTTTGTACCTCAATAGTTAAAAGCAATTACCCATACACCTAAGATCTTGTGTTTGAACACCCCTACCCTATTAAAAAAAGTATGGAGAGAGGATTTAATTTTTTATACAAGCGATAATCTACTCTACATCAATCTAATCTATGAGGAGGGGAATTTGAACTTTAGGGCGAGCTCACTACATTGTCCAATTGGCATTACCCAAGTCGACAGAATTTATTATTATGACATGAAACTGATGTGTGAAATGACCAAAATGGAAATGAGAATTACCCAAAATGATGGCACAACACACAACCCAACAGATCATACAATACATGAAAACTAGCCACCAAAATAAAATTCATTTAGGCCTCGTTTGGTTCGTGGAAAATATTCGAAAGGAAATAATTTTCCATGTCTTTTTCCAAAGGGATGAGAAATGGAAGATTCATTTCTCATGTTTGGTAATGATGGGAAAGTAACCAGGAATTACCACTTTATTTCCTTTTCCATGTTTGGTTTGCGTAGGAATATAAAACGAAGTTTGGTTAATTTTTCAATTAGAATAATACTAGTCTTACCACATTTTTTATACCATAATTTTATACCACATGATGTGGCAGCTGATGTGTACATACCACATCATGTAAAATACTAATTTTTATTTTTCTAATTTTATTTATTAAAATACACTTCATTCATTTAATTGATGTGGCATATGATATGGACATGCCACATCATGTGGTATATAAATATGGGATAATAATGTGGTAAGTGTAGCATTACTCTTTCAATTATACCCATATTAAATCAAATAAAAAAGAATGCATTTAATGCTATATTGTAATTCTAAATTGTTAATAAAGACAAAATGACCTATTTTTCCCTGAAACCAAAAGGGTTCAGGATTTCATTTCCTCACCCCACCTTCAATTTTGATCAAGTATTAGGCAACTATTTCTCATGTTTGGACTTACCAAACATGGAAAATAATTTGATTTCTCATTCCCAAGTCTCATTTCCCCATGAACCAAACACACGTGTATCCCACTTTCTTCCTATCCAAAAGGAACATAAAATAAAAATACAATAAAATGATCTAGTCACTTTAACAAGGATATATGTTGTTTATAGAAGATTAGAACGACCAATCAAATTAATTAGTAATTACTACCTGGTGATGAGTGGCGTCAGAGTTATGAATATCAGTGGTCTCCCCAGCACTCTGAGATGGAGGAGGAGGAGCTACTTGATCATCACCAATAAAGTTGCCACGCCGCTCTACAGAACCGTCATCCATCATCTTTTTGCACCACCAATAAAAATATGAACTCAAATATTTCAAATTACAGAATTGAAGACCCACTTATTTTTGCTGCATAATAAGAGAAGAGAAGAAGATAACAGAGACAAAGAGAGAAAGAGAAAGAGAGAGAAAGGAAAGCCACCCTGCAAACAAAGAGCAGTTTTGAATTTGAATGAAATAAAATGGGCAAAGTGAGTTTTTTAAAAGAAAGAAATTCCCTTTAATGGAATATATGTAATTCCAATGCTTGCTCTCCCATTTTCTTTTTGGTATGAAGAAATGTGAGTTATTTTTTTCAATCAACTTGTTCTTTTGCTTGCATTTGTATTTGCTCCATCGATGCATTTGCATTGGTGTCTACGTGCACGGCAATATATTATGGGCATATAAGGACAAGGAAAAGTCACAATTATAATTCATGCACCAAACTTGTAAGAAGCACTTGAAATTCTTATGAAAATTTTAAACATTTTTATAATAAAAGTGTTTTTGCGAGAAGCATTTATAAGCATAAGTGCTTTCTATAGAATCCTAAATGAGTAAAACTTGATTGGTACTTAAATAAAATTACAAGATTAAATTGTCACAATTTAAATGACAGTTATCAAAGTGGAAAATGAATGACAAAAATAAAATAAATTGTAATTTGAAAAAAATAAAAAAATAAAAAAACCAATCAGAGCCGTCCAAATGAGAGGGGCAGGTGTTTTAAAAGCCGAAGGAAACCCTAGTTCAGCAGTCAGCCTGCAGGTGCTCTGTTCATAGCCGGTAACGTTCCCAACTTCCATTCTCTCTCTCTCTCTCTTTGATTCGGCAGTTTACTATACTGATCTATGCAGTTGTATCATTGTCCGTTGCGTTTATGAGCAAATGTTATTAAAATTGATTTCTAATGGGTATATCCATTTGATGTCGGTATGATGTAATCTGGTTTACCACGTCAATTAGTTGTGTGGAGCCATTGTCAAATTCCCCTTTTCTTGTTAGTGCAATTGAAGTTTAAGTTTGTCATTGGTGTAGTTGATGCCTGATGAAAAACTTATGCTTTTGTATTATATTGATCACTGTTTGAGGATAATAGTTTTTCGAACTTGGATTCTCAAGCACTTCTAGTGTTGCAATTTGGGTTCTCTAACTTCTGTTGTATGCCGGTTCTAAAAACAAGAACAAATTTTTAAATGTGGCAACTTTTTTTGTTTTTTGTTTTTTTGTTTTGTTTTTGGCAAGTTAGAAAATGTGCAAGCTGAGTTTCTTTGTTGTGAACTCTCAAGCATTTTTATTGATAAAATGCCGAGCTAATAAACAAAAATTGCAGAACCCATTTCCCTTTTAACTCAATTGAAGAACAATAGGGCTATTTGTAATTTATTTCCCTTTGTCTCTGACCATGTCCACTAGCTTCTGAATGGGTATGTGTTAATTGCAATTGCTTTCTTAGTTTCTTGTTCATACAACGGCTTATATTTTATGTTGTTTTTGCCTGCTTTAAAACTGTTTATCTTAATCTTTGTGCTGTTTCGTACCCTTCTTTGTTACATGTTTGGGATGTGATGTAAAAGAACTGAATGTGCATTGCCTTATGTTGAAGTCCCTTGTTCAAATCCCTTTTGCAGGTAAGTCATGGTGAAGCACAACAATGTCATTCCTAGCTCGCACTTCAGAAAGCATTGGCAGAATTATGTGAAAACATGGTTTAATCAGCCAGCGCGTAAAACACGGAGAAGAAAGGGTAAGAAATTAGATATTCAATTGATTACCTCTAATAAAAATCTTTGATTACCCAATCTTTGTTAATTTTGTGTATTCCTTTCATTGTTTGGGTAATCAGATATCTTATTACTTTTTTCTTCTCTATGTTGGTTGATACCATCTCCAGCCCGTCAAGAGAAAGCTGTGAAGATTTTTCCTCGCCCTACATCTGGACCACTGCGACCTATCGTTCATGGCCAAACGTTAAAATACAATATGAAAGTAAGATCTGGCAGAGGATTTACTCTTGAAGAACTGAAGGTGAGACTATTGTTTTTGGTATAATTGTTGCTCATCTCAAAAAGGGAAGGGAAATTTCTAGTGCTTGTCATGTTAACGTTTTGTCTTAGTAGGGTACATGGTTCTGCATATACAAAAGTTTAGTTATAACAATGTTTGTTTCGGTTAGTAATGGATCCTCGAATGAGGTCAAGGGAATCCAATTCTGTCCGTCATATAAGAAACTATTATTAACATTTGGAAACTTGTGGTTTCAACAGTTTTTTTTTACCCCTTTTGCCTTTAATTTGAATATTTCTGATAGGATGAATGGGGTTTCCTGCAGTTTTTCTGCACATTCTGAATATTACCTATATTCAGGAAAATGTTGGAATTATGGAATGCTTGCTTATCCTTTGCTTTGATGTATTTGTAATCTATTACAGGCTGCTGGTATCCCGAAGAAGCTTGCTCCAACCATTGGCATAGCTGTTGATCATCGCCGCAAGAATCGATCTCTAGAAGGTCTTCAAGCAAATGTTCAGAGGTTGAAAACATACAAGGCCAAGTTAGTTGTCTTCCCAAGACGTGCACGGAAGTTGAAGGTAATAATATTCTTTTAATATATTCAACATGTATGTAGAGTGTGATATTCTCGTTGTTGCTATCTGTATGCAAGTTACAACCTTTGACTGCATAAATTTGTTGTGTCTTAGGCTGGCGATTCAAGTCCTGAGGAGCTTGCCAATGCTACCCAAATTCAAGGCCCTTACATGCCCATTGTAAGGGAGAAGCCAACTGTTGAGCTTGTGAAGGTTACAAATGATATGAAGGCATTTAAGGCTTATGACAAGCTACGCGTTGAGCGTATGAATGAACGTCATGTTGGTGCGAGACTGAAGAAGGCTGCCGAGGCAGAGAAGGAAGAAAAGAAATAGATGGAGTACTGAGTTTATTAGTCTGCCATCGGCAGGTGTTAAATTTTGGTTGGAATGTTGAGAAATTTTATCTGTCCATCTTGCATTTGAGTATTTGGATTTTAACAATTATCTTAAGACTGCTGCTGTTACTTTTGGTCCTTGATTGAGTTAGTCTCTCGGGAGTCCGAGTTCATTTCCTTTCGTTATGGTCTTATTGAAGAGAAAACCTCTACTCTTCTAATCGTTCGAGTTCTACATTCAGTGTCATAAACAAATAAATATATGATTTGGGCCAAAAACTTCAAAAACAATTTTCACATACCGAGATGTATGTCTAACCAAGTGATAGTCTAAATTTAATCTAATCTACCAAGAGGAAGACTAGAACTTGGATGCAAGGAGGCGGGTTCACTACGCTGACCACATGGTCTAACCTACGTCAACCTCGTCTGACCCAAGTGTAAAATAGACAAATTAGACAATTTATAGTTTCAATTTTGAGATGTGGGAAAGTTTGAGAGAATTGCAATAATGGAGTTCACAATGGTAACAGAGAGAGAAAAGTGGATTTCCGGTTTTGGGGGAGAGAAAAAGAGTGTGGAAGGATAATAGGTTTTTTTTTTTTTTTTTTTTTGGGTCGAAGGGAAAGATAATAGCTTTACATATACTAAAATTTAATAATGATAATAAAATTTGTCGTACAAGCGATGTGATATAATGCATGCAATATCTTTTTTATTATTATTATGTTTTTAATAATAAATATATTCAGATATTTCTTTTGGGTAGACAGATCATAGAAGGGCATCAAAAGGTGGTTGGTTGTTACACCTAAAAACGTTAAGACCCATAAAAGCCTACCTACATATGGGACCTCTCTGACTATGTGAGATTTTTTATTCTCAACTCTCACTCACACCATCATCTTGAATTAATACCACAAGGAATATGCTTTCGTAAGGGGAAGAATAATATATATATATATATATATAAATATTAAAAAATATTAAAACTAAAAAAACTACAATCCAATTCCAAACTTTTTAAAGAATTTCTTTTTTTATAATGCGAGTTCAAATATCAAGAGCTTCTACATTGATGATTTTAAGTTATGTCTGGTCAATGACTTTTAATCTCAGGTATTTATTATACGTGTTAGTGAATTTAATACGCACCATACATGAGATCAAATAACTGCGATTAAAACCTTACCATAAAATCCTTAACCGAGCATTTTCCTCAAATATCACATACAATTGTTGTGAAAAAAACAAAAAAAAATTCTTCGTTGGGAAAGACATTTTATTAAAATAATATCATAAGATGTGTATAATGAATAATCAGAATCTATAACCCAAAAACGTGACAATCAAGAACAAGAAAAGCACCTCATCCTAATTTTTCTTTAAAAAAACTTGGGAGAACCAAAAAGCCCAAAAAAAAAAACAAAAAACAAATCACGCCAAACGTTGCGTGGCTTTTAATAATGGACGATGGGGTATAGAATCAGGGACTGCTTATATATCACCACCTCCATTCCACCACCACACACGCACACGGCACTGCGACTCCATACGTTGAAACAACAGCAGATTCAATCTCGCAGATCGAGCAAATGGGTTTGAAGGTATGCTCTTAATTCTATTCCGCTTCCATTGTTTTCAATTTTAATCTGTACTTACTGAGAAAATCAGCGTTTCTGTAGGTTCTGTTTTGGTTAATTTTTCTTCTACTGTAGTGAAATTAGTTCAGATCTGTATGTAATATGTTGGGCTTGAATCTGTTACTCTTTTTGATTAATTGGTGAAAAATCAGCAAGAATTATAGTTAATTGTAGTGGGTTCTCTTCGTTTTCTCTGTTTTGGACTGTTGATCTTCATTTGGTTGAAGTTCTTGATCTACATATCATGGATCAGAGCTTCAGTTCAGATCCAGATGGTATTATCAACATGCAAATCCTGTAGTGAGGTTTTTCGCTCCTTTTCATTACATTCTGGTTGCTTGTTTTCTTTAACTGAACATAGGGAGAAGAAATGTCGAAGATTTCCACTACCTACCTATCTTCCCAATAATTATTTTAAGAAAATGTCATCTGATAAACTTTTCTGCTTATGATATTATGATATTAATTAGGTGAATAAACTTCCCCATAAACTTTGGACTTTGGAACTGCATGTGTAACATCAGTCACTCCTAAACTTTATCATGTAAAGAAGCTTGGTATGCTCCCTAAGTTATGCTTATGCATATGTTAATTTTGGAGTTGTGAGTTAGTGTTCTACACCTTCTCAAGAGTATGGCTTTATGATTTGTGATTTAGCTTGTTATTTACTACCTGTGAAAAGTTGCAAATTTGAACTTAGGTCTGAGGCATACCTAGTTAGTAGCTGAATGAATCTCCACTTGCAATAAAGTAAATTTTATTTTTATTTGCCGAATTATTTCGTTGCTCCATTGCTTTTATGAACTACAGATGGTTAGCCAAAGGGGAAATTCAAATGTTTTTGTAGTTTTGGCATCAATGCTTTTATAGTTTCCTTATAACTTAGTTCTTTATGTTTTTATTTGGAATGATGATGAATAGTTATGTTCTGAATCACATTTGACTGGGTGGGGTCTTGCAGGAGGAGTTTGATGAGTATGCTGAAAAAGCCAAGACTCTTCCAGAGTCAACAACCAATGAGAACAAGCTCATCCTCTATGGGCTGTACAAGCAAGCCACTGTTGGTGCAGTGAACACCAGTAAGTATAATGCTCCCTAAAATTATGATTAGTCCACTATTTTTCCATTCTCTCGTTGCTTTACAAACTAGAGATATTTAACTGTCCTGTCCTCTAAATTTTCCCTTCATGTTTGTTCCTTCGTGGCTGACTTGCAGGCCGCCCGGGAATATTCAATATGAGGGACAGAGCAAAGTGGGATGCATGGAAGGCTGTTGAAGGTAATACTTCTGAGCAAATTGATTTTTACCGTTTCATGTCAATCTTCTTATACTCTAGCATAATTATGAATTTTTTTTTAACCTTTGTGGCAGGGAAATCCAAGGAGGAAGCCATGGGAGACTATGTTACAAAGGTGAAGCAGTTGCTGGAAGAGGCTGGAGCTTCTACTTGATGTTTTCCTGTGGTGTTCTTGTCTGATTCAAAATAAACTTTGTAGTTTTTCGCACTGGTACTCTGTTATATCTAAATTTGTGTGTGATTCATCTATGATTTGCTTTAAGTAGATATGATCTTAGTAAATGGTTCCCTAGATCAATTTGCAGAAATACTACCTTACAAATTGCCACCTATAAATGTAGGGTAGACGACATTTGAACTCTGATCTTGGAGAAAGACTTCCATGAAATAAGGATAACTAAGTTTTTCTCCCGATTCTTGGGGTAGAGGACATTCGAACTCTAATATAGGGTGTAGGGGTGAACTTCCCACCACAAAACTACAAGTACCCACAACGTACGTGACTTGTTTTTAAGGGCTCTTGACGTATCAGAACAAATGAGAGCCCAAACCCTCGGTAAGTCCCCACATGCTATTCAAAGTGAACTGAACTAGACCGTGTCCACCTCTAAGTGAGACACTTAGTGTTATTTTATTCAGTTCAATTTTCGGTTTGGGGATAAAGCGACCCGGACTGGACCGTGCCCACCTCTAAGCGAGACACTTTGTGTTATTTTATTCAGTTCAGTTATATACTTTCAGCAGTATATAGTCAGGAGTGTAGATTTGATTTGAATTGGCATGCTTGAAACCTTAAAATACGCAGAGCGTTCAAACCTTAAGATATAATCTAATATGCAAAACCAAAATATTTGTAGACTTCAAATCCTAACATGGATAAAGTTGTAAGAGCTCTACGATAATTTTAAGAGACATATAAGACGACTTGCGTTTTGATGTGCGTATCTTTATGAGACTAGTGCTCAACATATTTAGTGATATGACATTTGGTTTAATGATCAAATGACTCGAAATGAAAATCATTATACAAAGATGATCATAAGAAGTAAAAAACCCATTATAGCCCCAACAGTTTTGTTCTCTTTTGACTGTTGTGATGATTTTTTTAAAGATTAATCAACGGATTTTCACGCCAAAAAAAGAATGGAACGAAAAGGAAAATAGACAACATATATACAGATGCTACCATAAACAAAGTGGAATGAGGACATCGAACCGCCACCCTTATGGCTTGGATCAGGATACTTACAAACAGAGTAAACAATTTGGTGGACAGATTTGAATTCAAGTCTAGAGATTTATTGAACAAAAGGATACCTAGAAATATAGTATTCCCTTACGCGAGAAGCACCGTCTCTGGCCAGAATACCTTCAAGATCTCCAATAATTCTGGCCAACCATATCTCCAAATTTCTCTGGATTTCTTTGAAGTTGTTTCTGATGGAATCCAAAGACCGTCGAGTGGTAAGTTTGGCCTGGTTCCCCACCTCACCCCCATAATAACTCTTCCCAATCTCTGTTTGTACTGCCATCAGCTTCTGTGCGGTTTCTGATGCACGTTGCTGAAGTCTAAATGATTCAAGTAAAAATTCTGTTTGTCTTTGCGTACGAAACTCTGGACTGAGTGTGGGTTCAGAGGGATCACTATCCTGCTGTAAAAACAAGACAATTTTGTGAACACAACAAAAAATTTAATCTGTCAACTACCTTTGGAGACAATTGCTAAAAGTTACAAAAGTAAAAACAGATGCAAGTAACAAAAAAGACAGTTCAGGTATAACTCATGACCAAGAACTTGAACTTGATATGATAAGGGGCAATCAACTACCACAGAAAGATTTATATTTTAATTTTTATGAATTGCTAATTTAATTAATTTCAAATAAGTCGTATCTTCTTATTGGTAAAAAAAAGCTGAGGTTATAATCAAAAAGCTAGATTAGGCATGGATAGACTAAAGGATATATGTCATTTTTTTGCATATGTTTACAAAGCACTTTCCAAATTACCTCACATTTAGAATTACACAAAAAAGACTATTTTTCTCAAAGAAGTCTACATAGAAAAACTAGAATATTGTACGAAGAGTTCGTTAATCAGTTGCATATTTGGGAATCAAAAACTCGTTAATTTCACAGGCATTTTGAAATAGTGGCTTATTATATCTCGAATTTTAACAAAGGATTGTTCGGTGCTAGCAGCAATAACTAAGTACATGATGATTAATTAAAATATGTGTATGGTTAACTAATTGATGGGCTTGAAGAAAAGTCAGAGCCACAGGACCTTGTCAACTTCCCAATATAACAGGCATTGACAGCAAATCTCTTGCTGATCCCCCAAAATAAAAAATAAAAAAAAATAGACAGCGAATCTCTTGCATACAAAAATCTATTTTGTTTCTAATTTTTTCGGATTTTTTTTTCTTTTTTGTACTCTCTTCTGTTAATAGAAGATTTCAACCTTAATAACTTTCCAATATAGCACGTATCAAAAGGAATGCTTGCATATTCAGACATATTGTAAGGCAGAAGTGTCGTAATAACAAAGCATTTTGCTTCACATATACACAGAACTCTCTTTTCTTTCTTCTCCTTCTGTGTTTACTTTTTCTCTTTCTATTGTACCCTCTTTTGTTAATACTTGGGTTTTCTAAACGAAATAACAGACCAATAAGATAATAAAATAGCATAAAACAAGTAAAACAAGGGCGATTAAACATTACCATTCTTCTGCACAGATCATCTATCTTCCCTGCAAGAGCTTGATACCTCTTGGCCTGCTTCCTCATCAATGAAGGTACCTTGGAAAGATCACTGTTTCCAATATTTTCCAAATTTAGCAATTCTTGTTCAAGTAATTTTAGTTTAGAGGATACTCTGGTCGATTCACCATCTAGCTTCCAAGGGGACTCCCTTCTAGGCGAGAAAGACATGTTGATCTCATTAGCTACAGAGTTTGCCTCAGAAATTATCAGTATATAGAATGTTAAATATATACCTTGGTACAAAATGCTTCATATGATACAATGGTTCAAGGGATTCATACTGTACATCCTGCAAAAGAATGAAAACAGATCAAACAAGTTAAATACCTTACCAATTCAATCAATTAGGCAAATATTTAAATAAAAAACGTTCAAAAAATGGCCTTAATAAATAAATCCTATAGAAACAAAGTTAACTAATCTGCCTTTTCCAAAGCTAAATAAGTACGTAAATTTAACTAGTACAAGTAGTATTCACACCAGCAATGTGGTGAAAGAAGATCACATGGAATCGCTTTTAAATAGGTCCCAATTAGATCACATGGAATCGCTTTTTAATAGGTCCCTTTGATGGCTCAGATGGTCCAACATGTCTAACCCATTTCTAAGGGACAAAAGAACAATAAAGTGTTGCCACATAGAAAAAGGAATGCTATCCAAAAGAAGTTAAAATTTTATGGAAAAAAAAAAAAATTGAAGACACAATAAAGAAAGAAATTTAAGGAAACATAAGGGAAAAGGAGAAGACATAAATTTCTTTTTTTCATTTTTCTAAAAGCTACAATAGTTCATCAAATTATTGGCAGAGAATATGGGTGTTGAACTTATTACAGCCATAAGTCACCTATCTCCTACAGAGGCCAAAGACTATATGCCAAGTCACATAATTTGTGGATAACTATTCACTTTACATATGGAAACAACACATGCCTTCCAAAATGCAACTTGTTTGCTAGTGCTGAAGAAGACAATGGACCTGTGTCTTACCAAATGCTTTGACTCGTTTTTAAATAATGTTAAGCTAAGATGCTAATAATGCCTTTCGCTTCACTCAATTGCTGTCTTTGTTCATGTAAACAGCAAATAAGTTTTGGTGATGATTGGTGAGCTAGACACATCAACATCACAATCAAACACACAATGACCAAAGCAAAATATAATGGAAATTTTTTTGAGTCTTAATTGAAACAAAATTTACAAACATTGAAAACCCAATAAGTGAAAATGGAGGCAAACCTGCCAGAGCTTGGAAGCATCGGCCACCAAGTGGGAGTCAAAGCCAAAGGCAATGGCATTGTCGTACACATTCACATCATCCTTGACTTGATGTTGTTGTTGTGGTTGGAGGAGGCCAAAGTGGTCGTCTTCTTCAGCCTCACCGCCTCTGCTGGCCATGAACCCAATCATGTCGTCCCTCTCCCCAACCTCTCTCTCCAAATCTTGAATCCTAGCGCTCGACTCGTCCTGGGTTTTCTCCAGCTCCACAATCCTTCCATGGAGGTGAGCAATTTCTT